CCTTCAGACTGCTGCACCCTAAATGCTCTAAGGTGCGTTATCACATTTTCTTCCTCCCTGGAGCTGCAAGACTTTATAACCACCACTGTTCCTAACAACCCAAATAAGTTGTTACATTCATGATGATTTTGCACAGTTTCTATCTTAGTCAGTTAAACAACATGCTGCTGTCATTTTGCACATCTCTTTATATTGTTAAACACTTTACATTAAGTATTTTATTGTTTATCTTTTAACGCTTCACTAGTTTGTTATTCTTATAAATTTTTCGAAGGTCCACATTTGTATGACCATTTTTTTCTATAACCTTTTGCTGCTGCTGCAAACGCCAGAATTTCCCGATTGTGGGACAATAAATGGATTTTCTATTCTATTATTATATTTATGTTCTACAGTTCTACTTTAACACACATTGCTTCATTGGGCAGCAGCTTTGTGCTCAAGTAAAGTTCTCAAAGAACAGACCTGGAACCCAACAGGTGCATAGCTCAGGACCTCCAGTGCTGGTTACTACATCCTGTTGTGCTGATGTGGTAACTGACCTCTGAACTGTACAAAATGGCCATGGCTGATTGCTGTTGTAACAAACCTGCTTGGACACCTGCTTATCCACACTAATGTCTACAGAACACTAAAGTAGGTAAGTAAGCAAATGTTTGTTTTTAAGAGATTATTTTATAAAATAAAAGTTTTGATGTGAAAGAAAGACTTGATGTGACTTTATTTGTTTTACGATAGTGTCCAAAATGCAGTTTCTTTTATTTTTTTCTTACTAAACTTAAGATTTAACACGTTACAAGATACTATATATGTGACGGGAAATCCAGAACTAAAACTAGAGAGAACTACAATAGAGTTTATGAAAATGAATCAAGCTGATTTCCTTTATTGACCAAACAAAAGTTTAAAATAAGCTACAACCTATACAAATTTGGAAGAATCTGTTACAGTAGCAGCCATTCATAATTGCCCTTCCCAGTTAAACGGCAGCCGAATGGCAGCCTACTCCCCTACAACTCCCAGCAAAATCCCCTCCAATTTCCAGCCACTGGCCTTCTCCTGGACGTGCATTTGTTTTACTCTGACTCCACCCTTTTACTGAATTACAGGGTATGACCCGGAGTTGACGCTTCTCTTTAGATGTTAATGTCCACAAATCATGAAAGACAGAATATTATAGTACAAAGATTAATGTTTAAAAATGAATTGTGGAGGACCAGCCAAGGGCCCATCAAGAAAAGTGGGGAAATTTTGAATGGCTACTACTGTAGAAGTGTTTTATTCAAGTATATTGAGGTTATATTGAAAATAATGAAGCCAGATATGGTTATTAATTTAAAGTGAAGCAGTTGGTATCAAAAAGGTGAACCTGGGTCAACACTCGGCAGAGTGATTAAAAGTCTAATTTTAGCCTTTTTTCAGCTTGTTCAAATGGTTTGAAAATTTACATTAATTTACAAATTGTTCCTTTTACTTATTTTATATCCACAAAGGTTTATATAATCATACTAAAAATCTGTGCACTTTGAATTTGTGAAGAAAGTTAAGCCTGCTTGTTATGGGAACATAAATGGCAAATATTTTTAATTTAGGATGTGTCATTGTATCACTTAAAGGATGTCAAACCTTAGTCTTTAACCTGAATGTAATTCTATACGAAGCATCAAACCTATAAACTGGTGCAAGTGAAACACAGCCTAACTCTGCCCAGAACCCAGTCAACCTGCTGCTGCAGAGCTTCAAATAGCAACCTGAATCTTTTCCTTTTACATTTAAAATTTATTTAGTAAAAGTGTTTCTGTCTTCCTTTTGTCAATTCTTTTAAAAGCGTTTAATGACTGTGCTTTAATATTTAAACTTATGGCTCAGAAGTTGTGGGCGGCTCCTGTTCTACCTGTGAAACACATTTTTGTTTCAGTTTTGTTTTTTGAAATTTAATTTTAATGTAGCATATATTTTCCAGACATTATCATTTTTATATTTATGTGTTGGATTTGTTTTTTTTTTAGTTTATTGCCAATCATTTCTTTTTAAGGGAATCAAATACCTGTAATTTGTAAATATGGTTTGTAAAAGTAGAAAATGGTGAGTCTGAAAAACACTTTACATCTTTACCCAATTACTGAATTGAAATAGTTTGCATATTCTATGCAAAACAATTACATGTCACACAGCATTTTGATGAAGGTAAACCTAAAACAAAGTAAAGTCCAGGTACAAAATCCTATTGTGAACAATTCACAGAAAAAGCAGTTACCATTGCCAGTAAGTAAAAAAGATTGCAAGCTGATCCCTAAATAAAAAACAACAACAACAGTGTCATATTAAGGCACTAAAATAACTACACTGAGCAGACAACTTACAGTTGGTTGATTATGTTTTTTATCATTAACTTTATCGGAGTACAAATGTTTGCAGAATCAGCTCCAAGAAAGCATGCAGTCATGCTTAGCCAAATGAGTTGCTCAAGTAGCTTCTTCTTGTAAGTAGCCTCACCCCACTAGAGTTACTGAGGATGTTGTGTAACTAAAAAAAACTCCAAAAGTGACTCATATTGCATTGTTATAAGCACAGGAGATTCAATAAAACTATGCTGAAAGGTTCAGTTGCTCCATTTTTATTATTTGGGATTTGGCTAGTCTAAATTGTCTGTCATAGTTTCTGAATAATCTTATAGATTTCTGAGATGTTGTCAAATCTGAAGCATAGTCACCAAAATAGAGAGAGAGAAAAAAACAAAAACAAAACAGATATCCTGCCTGGGTTAGCTTTACCGAGTCTTGAGAACAGATCAGGTCAAACCTTACATCTGAGGTCAAAGTTTATGTCAGTCCAACCGCCTCCTGCTGTGCCAAATTCATCAGCTCTCTTCCCCTGATGGGAACGTGTTCATCTCTGTGTCCTTTTTCTCATCAGCTGATGGTCCAGGTCTGGCTTTGTCATCGGCAGCTTAAGAAGACTTTTCTTTCCTTCGTCTGCTGAATGTTTAATTCAGAGAGAACCTAGTCTGTACTGTAGTTCCAATAGTGCTAGCATGTTTAACAAGCCATTCCAAAGTAAAAGCAATAGTTTCGGTTTTTTGCTGTCATTTTACTCTTGGTTACTGCATATAATCATGTTTCTTAATGTCAAAACCAGATAAAAATTATGTTTTAAAAAAACAAAATAAACTTTAAGACAAATGTAATTTTTCATGTTGCTATTTTCTATACGAGATTTTGTTTTTTTTACAAAGTATAAAGAGAGAAGTATAAAAATTTTAAACTGGATAAAGCAAAACATTTCTTGTTTCAGTTCAGCGAGGATTAGTCTAACTTTTGAGACGAGCTCTTTTCTTGTGAGACATCATGGAAAAATCAGGAAGGTGGGGAATTGGAGAGCATTTCCAAATGCCTAAAGTTGGCTCATTCAGTTATTCAAGCAACTACTCCTAATGTAAACATAATGATATATATTAGGGTTAAACTTTTGTTTTATACACAGTTTCCATGGATGCTCCGATGTTTTAGCTTTAAAGATCATTTCCAACCTATCTACACTCTTCTGGGCCAAATTTTAAAACCTCTCTAACTGAATTTGCCTTTCAAACAGACTTCATGGCATCCAAACTTTTAGAATAGTTTTATGAATAGTTATTTAGGCCCCCAAAATATTCTCGGGGCCTAAAGAACACAATTTTTTTTATTTTACTTTATTTTTTTTCACATTTAAATCTTTGTCCTTGACCATAATTGGAATGAATGCATTATAAATGTAATTATAATAAATGACTATAAAGCTTTTCGGGGCTGGGTTTAAAATGCAAAAGAAATCAAAACTAAATGAAGTAGTGAGTCTCTAATGTAATTTAACCATGATTGATTTAAACCAACAATGCATATTATTTATGCATTTTTGCCTCTGAACTGTAATTTAAATATTACAGTAATGTCTCGCTGCTGCTTGTTTAATGCACTTAGAGATGAGAACTGACTGAAGATTTCCCACTGATTGGTTTTCTCTTGGCTAGATCCTTCCTTTTACTATTTAGATATTTACTCCATTTAAACTGTGTAATTCCATATAATTTCTTTAAGATTAAAATGATTTCTAAACTTTTATACCACTAAATTTAAAGTAAATGATTCTCAGTCACTGAAAACATACCAAATTGGTCTTAAAGCTTTAAAGAGTTAAATATTCTCCCTATTAATGTATTTATTTATTTATTTTGGTATTGTTTCTGTAAAATGGCCTATCACACTTTCTCACTCATTTAGTCTCTGACCAGCTTTTAGTTTGCAGATGAATGACAGATCATTAAAACCGGGGAACCCTGATGCACAGAACGTAAAACCATATGTTTAGCACCTTCCCCGAAATGCTCTTTCAGATTCATTTCAGTCGCTGATGATGATAGACCCTGTATCCTATTACTGATCTCCATGTGCTCATGCAGCGTTCAGTGTGAGTACTGCTGACAGCAAATAGGAAAAGGGACAAAGAAGCCACTCACAACATGCAGGAACCCAGAGAAGGGCAGCAGTTTTACTTTTAAAGTATTCTAATTTGTTGGAAAATAGATATTTCTGTTTTATGTAGGCCCCGTTGTAATGCAAAACTCTACCACTACTTTTAAACATTTGCTGCACCGTGCTGGACTTAGCAAGCCTCTATGCATAACACACTACAATTTTTTGGTTGATCGTAAGGGTTGGCTTTTAACTGCTTTAAATGAAGTAATCAGTCATATTAAACCACTTGAAGATCTATTTTATGGTCATCTCTTATACCTCAGCGTAAAGTGGAGGATCATTCTGGATGATTTGTGAACATGAACCTGACTGTCATTTTCATTGCTTCCTCTTTCCCTGCGCTGATGACACAGTACACACAAAGTCACACAGTACACACCTACACACACTGCTGCAGGCCATTGGTCACTTATATCATTGGTCCGCCTCCACCCTGACCCCTTTATAAAGGCAGTCCATGGCAAAGGAAACTCTTTAAACTCCCTTTCACATCAGATTTGTTACATTTTGATTCTTTTTATCGGTCACCTGCTCTAAATAATAGTAAACAACAGAGAAGACTTTTGGGGAGAATTTAAAAGTTTTTTAAAGTCCTCGTCGTAATTGTCTTCGCTCTGCTCGTCAAGGAGTCATCGGCAGGGGCCGATGGATTTGTCAGACTTTCCCTTCTCTCTCTCGTCAGCTGATGACCTCTACGACCCCTGCTTCAACACCAGCGATCTGAACTTTTTTGATGATTTGGACGCCAGGCTGACACATGGTGGGCTGCTGAAGTCAGAGGACCATCTTCATCACCATGTGCCAACAGCAGAGGAGGAGGACCAGCATGTGAGGGCCCCTGGGGGCCTCCACCAGGGGGGGCATTGCCTGCTGTGGGCCTGCAAGGCCTGCAAGAGGAAGACAACGCATGCAGACAGGAGGAAGGCAGCAACAATGCGAGAGAGACGACGACTCAGTAAAGTCAATGATGCCTTTGAGACGCTGAAGCGCTGCACTGCCTCCAACCCAAACCAGCGGCTGCCCAAAGTGGAGATCCTGAGAAATGCAATCAGTTACATCGAGTCTCTGCAGGCGCTGCTGCGGGCCGGCCAAAACGACAGCTTCTACCCACAGCTCGAGCACTACAGCGGGGAGTCCAACTCCTCCAGCCCCCACTCCAACTGCTCAGACAACACGGTGAGGCCAAGAACAGCTGAACAGTTCATGTGCTGCCCCATGAAATGTGAGGAATGTAACTAGAGATTTATTTTGGGCTCCAGTGATTAGTTTTGATGAATGGTGCCTTTAGAATGGAACCCAGTAGAATTGCATTCAAACCCAGTAAGTGCATACTTAAATAGTGTATTTGTTGAACTTTAAAAAAATATATATATATATTTTTTTAAAGTTCAACAAAT